AGGGGAGCCCCCCCCTTCCCTGAGGGGAGCCCCCCCCTTCCCTGAGGGCCCGCCGGCAGGGGGCCGCTGAGGAGTTCCAGCCTCGTAGGAGGTGTAGGGACAAACGTTAAAAAGAAGCCTGTAGGAAGCAGTGCGGACTTGCCGGGCTGCAAGCAAAATGGTAGCTTGGTAACCTGAACAGGGGGTCTCGTCGTCTGCGTTGCTAGCAGTGGTTGCCTTCAAGGTGTTCAGGGTTGCTGTGAATAAGAGTTGGGAGTTCACAAGGGGCGTTAAGCAGATTTCAGAAGTTAAGCTAGTGCTTTTCTTGAACAAGCTGAAGTGGGTGCAATCTGCCTAGTGTAGATTACCTGCTTATGGTCAGGAAGGGAGTTATCTGACTCGTCAGAGACCGACTGCCACCAGGGGCGAGGCAGTTGCCTTGATTTAGTATTGCAGTGTGGGGAGCAGCCTCTTAAAGCAAGCTGATGCGGTGGTATCTCCATTTTTCTGTTGAAGAATGCTTTTTTTTGTGTACAGGCATCAGCTTGCTGTCACTCATCACTCCAGTTCTATACCTGTGTGACTTACTGCTTGAATTGCACCGGTAGAAAACTGAAGTAATGCTAGTACTCTGCACTGTGGTGGTGTCAGCTTTAAAATAACCAACAAGCGTTTAAAAAATAAATACCATTTTCTAATAGCGTTTTATTATGTACAGAATGGCAGCTGTTCCAGTACTGCAGGTGCTGGTCGACAATTTCAAAACTGGAAGATGAAAGCTGAACAAGCTAAGAAAGCTGAATTCATAAGAACTGCAGAAAAGCTAAAAACCCAGTAAGTTAAACACTTTTTCATAAGTGTATTTTCATGCTGTTCTGGAGGTAACATAACTCAAGGTTCAAGGTAAGAACTTATGGTAATGAAACGTTTAGGCTAAGATTTCCTTTTCAGGAGCTCACGCAGATTATTGTGGTTGTTACAATAGTTCAAGATAGGCTCATGAGCTCCAAAATGCACTGTTGTTCTAATTACTATTTGGACTTTAGTCAATCATCTTCTTTAGATGACTAGATGCATGAAAAAGAAAGTGCACGTGGCATAGTTGAGTTTTCAGTTTTACCACTCAGCTGTGCTTAGCCTTTTAAGAACCTAAAGCTCTTAAGACACACCAACAAAAGGGGAATTGCAGCAGGATTACAACAGCTTCCTCAGAGAAGACTGAAAGCATTTTATCTAGAATATCTAGGGCGCTGCTTTGGAAAATGGGGGTTCAAGACAGCTCGGGCATAGAAGAGATTTAAATCTGTTTCCCTGCATCTTGATGGTATCAACTAGGCTGGCAGCTGAAAGAACAGGGAAATTTCCTCTTGCATGGATGAGCTTTAAGGAGGAAGAGCCGACATAGCCACCTGGCTGAAGGAGAGGTTTGTAGTTGTGAATCCTGAATGAACAGTGACACTTAAATCTCATTGCAGTGTTTTACACTGCCTGACTGAATCACCTCCTCTGTGGTTGTTCTGGATTCTCAGTTATGGCTCAGAAATTGACTGCTGGGTAATGCACATGTTCCTAAGCAGCTTCAAACAAGACACGCCACTTAACTATGGCACACTGTCCTTCTGTAGTTGTTGTTCTCTGAAGGCTCCTAGTGCACTGCATGGGGAGATTTGGTATTTGGGTCTGGCCTGTGAATTCCAGTGGACACCAAAATATTTAAACTGTGAACCATAAACTGCACCATATAGGGGGTTGAACCACATAGCAGCAATAGTCTGCTGAAGAACCAAGGTGCTACTGAGAGACAGGGTTTCTTGGGCTGTCCGTAGTGTTGCTTAGCATTGGGATCCTACCAGATGTCTCTGCACCTTAGTAAGAAGGCAAAAGTCACATAGCTCTCTGTACTTTACATAATGCATAGTCAGTAAGTAAGGTAGCAGCTTTAATATCTTAAGTTATTTAAATGCTAATGAACTTGAATTTGAAGCTTCAGCTACAGTAGTACTATTACTAGTGTTAAGGCTGAGGGAATGTACTTGTTTTGTTTGTGCTGGGGCTCCATCTATGTGTGCAACTGCATTAATACAGCGTGTCTCTGTCCCTACACTTTCCAATGAAAATTCTCATAAGGCTCCCTGGTAGTGAGAATACAGATAAAATTTCAGGCCATTTCAGTGTGTGGACCACTGCCTGCCAGCAAGGTAATTTCCTTGTTAACTTCGTTCTCTTGTTCAAGTTTTTGGGTTACTTTGGTGTGTAGTCTTAGAACTGCAGAAAGATTTTCCCTGAAAACAGCTGTAGGAACAAACCAGTGATTTGTATAAAATCTAAGACAGTCATGTTGATGCAGTCTCAGCTGGATACTAACCTTGGAAAATCTTGGGGCTTTGCTAAGTATTTGTGTCTTACTCAGTGTGGCAACATTTTTTTCCAGGTTTGCAAATACAGAAAAAGACAGAAATGGACATCTATACAATAGGAAGAGTGATTTCAGGGTGGAATACAGCATGCTAGAGGAACTGGAACGTAGCATGACTGTCATCAGGAAAACTGAAAGTAAGTGGGGTTTTATTTGTGTTTTTTGTTTGCTTTTTTTGTTACTCTGCTGTTGTTTGTTTAAACACAAAACTGTTTGTTTAAACACCAAATGCTACTGTTGGTTGGTTGTTCCCACGAAAACATGCAACCCTCTAGGTCTTTGGAGTGCCAGAGGCTTTCACTGGTACCTGATGGCAGTAGTGAGAACAGCTGTGTGAGGTGTGACCAAGTAGATGATCTGCTCAGCCTGCTGGTGGAGCTACGGGAGGAAGTAGAAAGATTAAGGAGCACCAGGGAGTCCAAGAAAGAGATGGACTGGTGGAACCATGCTCTGCCCTCCCTGAGACAGAAATGGGAACAACTACTGGTAAAACCCAAGATCAAGGGGATCCTGTATCCTCCCCCCAACAGGCTGAAGGCAGTAGCTTAAAGGAGAGGAGTGAATGGAGGCAAGGCCACCCTTGGGGCAGCAGGCAAATCCCCTCCTTGCCCATCCTGCCTTCCCAAGTGCCTCTGTACAACAGGTACGAGGCTCTGTATGTGGAAGGCCAGTTAATGGATGATGATGTGGATGACAGCCCATCTTCACCAGAGGTGCTGCCAAGGTCAGAAAGGCCTACCCCCTGTACCACAACCAGCTCCACAAGGAAGAAAGGACAGGTTATAGTTGTAGGCAGTTCCCTTCTGAGGGGAACAGAGGGTCCAATATCCTGGTCAGACCCTTCTCTTAGGGAAGTTTGCTGCCTCCCTGGGGTCCAGGTTAAGGACATCACTAAGAAACTTCCTAGCCTGGTATGACCTTCGGACTATGGCCAATTGCTGCTCTTCCATGTGGGTGGTGATGCAGCCACAGTGTGTAGTCCAAGGAGACTTCAGGGCTTTGGGATGGTTGGTAAGGGAATCTGGAGCACAGGTTGTTGGATTTTTTGGTCTCCCCTTCCAGTTTGGGGCAGCGACTTTGGAAGAAACAGATGAGGCCAGTCAGTTAATTCGTGGCTTCGCAGTTGGTGTCACCCCCACAGTTTTGGCATTTTTGATAATGGGATGACCTACACGGTGCCAGGCTTGCTGGTGTGATATGGGGTTCACTTTTCTGAAAGGGGGAAGAGGGTCTTTGCTCACAAGCTAGTGGGGGTCATTGGCAGAGCTTTAAACTAGGCTTGAGGGGGGAGGAGGGCAGTATCAGCTGTGGGATGACAGGCAACAGTTAGAGGGATGGGGTGTAGCCTGTGGCTCTAACAACTGCTGGCTACACTGCAGCACACTTGAAGTCTTACAGAGATGAGACAGGGACTCCTGAGGTAATAGGAGCCAAGAGGGATACACCAGTGAAATACCCCAGAGGAATTGAGGGATGTTCCTCTAGGAAGGTGACATGGTTGACAGCCCAGCTGAAAACTTCTACGCCAATGCACACAGCACGGGCAACAAACAGGAGGAGCTGGAAGACACAGTGCTGCTAGAAAGCTACGACCTAGTTGCCGTTACTGAAACCTGGTGGGACAAATTCCATGACTGGAGTGCAGCTATCAATGGCTACAGGCTGTTCAGAAGGGACAGGAGAGGAAGGACGGGTGGAGGCATTACGCTCTACATCAAGAAATGGATAGAGTGTGAAGAACTGTTTCTGAAGAATAGCCATGAGCAGGTTGAAAGCCTATGGGTAAGAATAAGAGACTGAGGCAACAAAGGGAACCTTCCTGGTGGTGTCTACTGCAGGCTGTCCAATCAAGGGGAGCCTATTGATATATACTCCAGCTACAAGAGGGATTGTGCTCGCAGGCTCTTGTCCTGCTGAGAGACTTCAGCCACCCCGACATCTGCTGGAAAAGTAGCACGGTGAGCTGTGGGCAATCTAGGAGACTCATGGGGTGCACTGACGATAACTTCTTAAATAAGGTAGTAGATAGCCTCCCAGAGGAAATGCGATACTGGACCTGATGGTCACCAATACAAGTGAGCTAATTGGTGACATCAAGATTGGAGGCAGGCTCGGCTGCAGTGATCATACGTTGGCAGAGTTCACAGTCCTGAGAGATATGGGTCAGGCGAAGAGTAAAGTCAAGACCCTGGATTTTAGGAAAGCAAACTTAGAGCTCTTCAAGGAGTTAGTCAGTAGGACCCCCTGGGAAACTGACCTCAGGGACAAGGGAGCAGAACAGAGCTGGCAGATCTTTATGGACAGTTTCCATAGAGCACAAGAGCTCTCAATCTCCATGTGTGAGAAATCAGGAAAGGAAGGGAAAAGACCAGCATGGCTGGGTCGGGACCTGCTGGTCAAACTAAAGGGCAAGAAAGAGATGCACAGGCAGTGGAAGCAGGGACAGGTATCTTGGGAAGAGTATGGGGACACTGCTCAGTTGTGTAGGGATGGGGTCAGGAAGGCCAAGGCACAGCTGGAGCTGAACTTGGCAAGGGATGCAAAGAATAATAAGGTCTTCTATAGGTATGTCAGCCAGAAAAGGAAGGTCAAAGAAAGCATATTCCCTCTGATGAGCAAGACTGGCAAACTGGAACAACGAATGAGAAGGCTGAGGTTTTCAACAACTTTTGTTGCCTCAGTCTTCATTGGGAATCTCTCTCCCCACACCTCTCCAGTGGATGGACCACAAGACAGGGATTAGGGGAGCCAAGTCCCTCCCACTGTAAGAGAAGGTCAGGTTCGTGACCACCTGAGGAACCTGAACATAAAGGAGTCTATGGGACCTGACCAGATGCATCCCGAAGTCCTGAAGTAACTGACTGATGTAGTTGCCAAGCCACTCTCCGTGATATTTGAAAAGTCATGGCAGTTAGGTGAAGTCCCCAGTGACTGGAAAAAGGGAAACGTTGCACCCATTTTTGAAAAGGGTAGAAAGGAGGACCCTGAGAACTACCAACGTGTCAGCCTCCCCTTTGTGCCTGGGAAGATCATGGAACAGATCCTCCTAGAAGGTACGCTAAGGCCCATGGAGGACAGGGAGGTGATTTGAGACAGCCAGCATGGCTTCACCAAGGGTAAGTCCTGCCTGACCAACCTCATGGCCTTCTATGATGGAGTGACTACATCAGTGGACAAGGGAAGAGCTATGGATGTTGTCTATCTGGACTTCTGTAAGGCCTTTGACATGGTCCCCCACAACATTCTTCTCTCTAAATTGGAGAGAGATGGATTTGATGGGTGGAGGGTTAGACTAGGTAATTTCCAGAGGTCTCTTCCAACCCCTACCATTCTATGATTCTGTGACTGTTCAGAGGATGAGGAATTGGTTGGATAGTCACATCCAGAGGGTAGTGGTCAACAGCTTAATGTCCAGATGGAGAACAGTGACAAGTGGTGTCCCTCAGGTGTCTATATTGGGACCAGTACTGTTCAATATCTTCATGAATGACATAGTGGGATCAAGTGTATCCTCAGCAAGTTTGCGGATGACACCAAGCTGAGTGCTGCAGTTGACATGCCTAAGGGACAGGATGCCATCCAGAGGGACCTGGACAGGCTTGAGAGGATGGCCCATGTGAACCTCGTGAGGTTCAACAAGGCCAAGTGTAGGGTCCTGCATCTGGGTCAGAGCAACCCCCAAGTATCAATAGAGACTGGGGGATGAAGGGATTAAGAACAGCCCTGTCGAGAAGAACTTGGGGGTACTGGTGGAGGAAAAGCTGGATATGAGCAACAATGCGCGCTTGCAGCCCAGAAAGCCAAACGGGATCCTGGGCTGCATCAAAAGGAGCGTGGCCAGCAGGACGAAGGAGGTGATTCTGCCCCTCTACTCCCATATGGTCAGACGCCACCTGGAGTACTGCATCCAGTTTGGAAGCCTCAGCGCAGGAAAGACATGGACTTGTTGGAGAGGGTCCAGAGGAGAGCCATCAAAATGATGAGAAGGCTGGAATACCTCTCCTGTGAATAAAAGCTGGGAGAGTTGGGGTTGTTCAGCCTGGGGAAGAGAAGGCTCTGGGGAAACCTTATTGCAGCCTTTCAGTACTTAGAGGGGGCCTACAGGAAAGATGGGGACAAACTTTTTAGCAGGGCCTGTTGCAGTATCGGTTTTAAATGAAAAGAGGGAAGATTTAGACTAGATACAAGGAAGAAGCTTTATACAATGAGGGTGGTGAAAGAGTGGAACAGGTTACCCAGAGAGGTGGTAGATGCCCCACCCTTGGGAACCTTCAAGGTCAGGTTGGATGGGGCTTTGAGCTACCTGATGTAGTTGATGTCCCTGCTCGTCGCAGAGGAGGTTCACCTAGATGACCTTCAAAGGTCCCTTGGTACCCAAACTATTCTATGATTCTAAATGCTTTAATAATCAGTAGTACAGAGAGATCAGTCTGGGTGGAATGAAGATGCTGATGCAAGTGTCGTATTTCACCATGTGTATTGGTTATAAAGATGACTTCCATAATTCCCTTGCAGCATTCAGAAGCATAAACGTTTTGGCCGTTCTGTGTTGTTAACTGTTTTCTTTTTATCTTAAGCGTAGTAGACATGACCCACAAAAACTTTGGAGGAATGTCACTGTTTTAGAGACTTGACATCAATTTTGAATGCAAAATCTAATGTAGTCTAGCTAAGGTGCAATAAATACATACTTACCACAACTTAAGTTTTTCACAAACTGATTGCTGCCTTTAAATATACTTCTAAACAGTTCTGTCTTTGCATTTTTCAAATTCTTGAATAATCATAGAATCATAGAATGGTTTAGGTTGGAAAGGACCTTGAAGATCATCAAGTCCCACCCCCCTGCCGTAGACAGGGACACCTCCCACTAGACCAGGTTGCCCAAGGCCACATCCAGCCTGGCCTTGAACTCCTCCAGGGATGGGGCCTCAACAACTTCTCTGGGCAACCTGTTCCAGTGCCTCACCACCCTCATAGTGAAAAATTTCTTCCTAATGTTTAATCTAAACCTGCCCTCTTCCAGTTTAAAGCCATTCCCCCTCATCCTATCACTACATGCCCCAGTAAAAAGTCCTTCCCCAGCTCTACTGTAGTCCCCCTTTAGGTACTGGAAGGCCACAATAAGATTTCTCCAGGCTGAACATGAATTCACAGTCTAGATAGTGTTGTGAGCTGGTACACAGTCTGTCCTATAACATCTGTTCCATTTATGGATTAGTGAAATACTTCAGGAAAAAAAACCACGACTCCTTGGTCACAGTACCTAAATTCATTCAAAAGTAATCAGATAAATCATGCTATGCCTTCTGATATAGAAGATCAAAACAAAATAAGTTGAAGAAGGTAAAGGACACGTAGAAACAACTAAAAGTACACTTACCTTACAAATTTATAGGTCTTTTAATGTGCATCTTTTAACTAAGGAAACATCATATCCTTTACATCTTGCAATCCTTAAGAAATGCAAGTATTTCCAAGGAATGACTAAGCTAAAAAGTTTAGAAATTTTTCCAGGATAAGAAGGGAGCATGGAAGTATGGATGGAGATATTGTGGTGAAATAAGAAAGAGGACAGAGATGAAAGACACTACATGTGAGATTTGAAGGAGTGTTAGAGTATGATCTTTTAGGGTGTGTACTAGAATCCCCAAACTTCCCATTTACTATGTTCAGGTCTTTCAGCATCACCTATGTGCTTTTGTACTTTCTGTGGTCTCACCAGGAACTAGTAGGGTCATGTCTTAGGTATATTTTGTTACATTTCAGTCTTTGACTCTGTTATCCCTTCCTTAAACCAAATCTTTTAGGATAAACGATACAGCTCCATAGTATGTAAGATGTATACAGAACTTCATCCTCATCAGAATTGTATTTATGGACTCATGAGGAGCTAAGTGGTAACAAAACAAAGAAGTGCATGTATGCCTGGAGTACACAAAAACATTGATTCTACTTTAGTTAACACAGCAAATACATAAATCTTGTTGAAGTAGTATGTGCACATACCTTTCCCAAGTTTGTTTTCTCTTAATTTCTGAGTATTTTGAGGCCTAAGTTGGAGTGTCCCTCAAAATTTTAGAGGAGGTGTCGTCTGCATAGGCAATATTCTTCAAACTCTGGTTACCTGATGAAAGGTTTGGGGGTAAAAAAACCCAAAACTGATTTAATCTAGAAGTTACTATCCTACTGACCCCTTTTGAAATAGGAGCTACTAATTCTAAACTGTTGATGCTGTGTGGGGAGATAGGTGGCCTGTGCAGTCAGCTACATGCAGTTACAGTTGTGTTAAAATTTTTAGTATAATGGCAATTTCTTATGATCAAATGGAATTTGTGTCCCTGCTTAAGTGAAGTCCCCAGTTTATTTTGGACACTTCATTGCTCTTGGTTTTGTATTGAATTTAATGCATAAAAAACTGTTAGCAGAGCACTTTTTTTTGTTTAACAGAAGCTAAAATCCTGCAGCAGCTATCAAAAATACAAAATAATGTGAAGAAACTTCAGCGACAATTAAAAGATGTGAAGCCTACACCAGAATGTAAGTTGTGATGACAGATTTAAAAACGTTTTCCTTTATAGACAGGCTTCTTGCATAGTTGGGCTTGTGATTCTTCTACAGACTTGGGATACTCCTTCTCCAGTCTGTCTGCTTTTCCAGGAATCTGGGAAGGGAAGAGTCAGAAATGTAAGAAATGGTGAAAGATTGTGCAGTTCTGTGTAGAAGCAGAGAAACTGACTCTGTCTTGGAAGTGGTGTGGGTTTGTTTCTTCAGGCTGTTGAAAGCTAGGCATTTTCTATATGTACCTCTTTGCCTTATATAAAATAAAGTTAGTCTTCTAGTGCCACTTAGCTTCCTTCATCTGGTAAGAGGTAACAGAATAGGGTTGATGGGGAACTCATTTCCAGCTGTCTACATGGTTTTAAGTTTAAGTTGGAATATTCTGTGCAAAATGCTGAAGCAGCTTGTTCAGTTTGGGTGTTTTGAAACTTTTGGGAAACAGGCACCGAAACAACCATTCTTCTGTGATACTCTACTGACTCGTGTGGAGCTCAGGTTGAAGCCTGCCAACTAGCTGAGAGCTTTCTGATGATGGATATAGTGCATCTCGTTTCATTTATTCGGTATCTATTCTATAAAACATGCATTACCTTCCTAAGATTTCAGCAAAGGTACTAAGAACTAACCAATTTAGTTTACTGTTTTTTAAAGCCAGGTTAGGTAAGCTCTGTGTTCAGTATGTGTCCATAGAGATGTTGTACTGGTTTAAGACAGATTCTAAAACTTTTTTCTACCATTGCAGAATAGATCTTCTCTCAATGGCTGTCTTACCATCTTTCTCCGTATCAGGGCTATAGCATGCTGACTGTACAGGCCAAAGTCTTACTTTGATGCTTCTTTGTCAGCTTTGTAAAAGTAGTAACCTCACAGCCTGGTATAAATCAAAGATTTGATTGTACTTCTTAAGTCACTAACTGTATTGTTACAAAAAACAAAAGCGGAAGCTCTTTAGGATAAGGCTGTCTTACTCTGTGAATCAGTTGAAGGTTACTCAGAATGAGACATGTTTAATGGAAATTTAAACATTTATACTGGGATTTGCATCCAGTTAGCTAAATCACTGTGAAACCACACCTTTTGAATAAATGAGAGTCTGTCTTTTAAGGCTTTTTGAGATGGAAATGCATGCTTTTTTGTACACTGAAATAAAAGTGTCCCAGAGGTCTCTGCAAGTGCCTACATTTCTGGGTAGTGCTGAATTACTGGTAAATACCGTAGACTTCTTAAGTGATATGCTCTTTTCTTATTTTCCTTTTTAGTTGTTGACAAGCTCAAGGAAGTGATGGAAGAAGTTGAAAATGCAATCAATGCTTTTAAAGAGGAACAGAGGCAAATGTATGTTGATACATGCTTCGGCTAGAAGAAAAAGTGCTTTCATAAGACACAGTGAAAACTTTGCATTAATCAAGTAAACTATTCTTTTGTTTTGATTTTTTGGTAGGGATTCCTGTGGTATGTAAATCAAAACCCAAGCTATCAATGTTAGAATCTTGATAAACAGCCTTTTAGAGAGGCTGTTTACATAGCTGTTGCAGTGATCCAATGTAACAATCATTTGCCTATGAAAAGGCTTTTCAGAGAAAGGCTGCAGAAGAGATTAGATTGTGGGGGGCTTGTTTTTGCTCTTGTTTTGGTTTTTAAGTGGGTGGGTTTCTTGTATTTTTTTTTCCCTTTCTCTGTGGTGGTGTCAGGAGGGGATTGAGTTCGTTGTTAGTTGAGTACCATAAACACTTTCACTAAAAGAGTAACTTAATTCTGATTGTGTAGTGCTTTATTATGGGATCATTACAACCGTGCTGTTATTGCTGTTGCCATTTCAGTTTTAATCTTTGAAGAATAGCTTTCCTGTGGTATTGAACAATTCCAAAATTCATTTTCAGTGAATGAACAAGAATACGGGATTCCTTTTCTTAAATTTCAGTGTTCTCTTTTCAGATATGAACAGCTTTTGAAGGAGGAAAAATCTGCCATTAATGAGCTCAGTGTCTTTGAGAGAAAAGTGGAACTGTGGGCGTTAGGCAACTCAACAACAGAAAAAGTTTTGAAATTACCGTCAGCCAGGGTCTTAGTTGATAAAACACTGCAAAATCATCTACCTGAAGAAGTAGTAGAGTTTGAAAGATTTCTTCAGCAAACAGGAGGGAGGCAAGGGGGCTGGGATGATTATGATCATCAAAATTTTCTGAAAGTATGGACAAAACACAAAGGAAGGCTGTCTTACATGGATGAAGCCCTTGAGTATCTCTGTGGAAGAACAAAAGAAGATATCGAACAGCATGACAAATGGTATCAGGAATTTCTAATTTTACACGAAAGAAAGAAAGAGGTAAAATAACCCTTCTAGGGCTTTTGTAGCTTTAAGAAGTACTTATTTTTAAAATCTATGCATTTCTTATTTTTGTATTTGCCTGTCTGGTGGTAGTGCTACGTGGATTTCTGTTACAGTTCATGGTATGTAACTGAAGTCTTTAGCATCCTCAAAATATTTGTCTTAAAGAATTACCAATAAGGATAGACTTACCAACACACTGAAGTGGGCTGCGTATTGCCAAAGTATATTATAAATGCTTTTGATGGCAGTGGTTTAGCAAGTTAGATGCCAATCCCAGAGGAGTAAGTGACCCTATCTGAAATTGCAGTTCTTGTTACATCTGTCCCTAAGAATATCTGTCCCACCATACAGGCAATATACCTATGCCATACTGACATAGAGAATTACTATTCTTTCAAGAAATATCCATCCAAGTAATAAAAGATGCACTGACATAAAAACTGAATTATAAAATAGTAAATGGAATTGCTAATTTGAAGAAAAAAATTCAGACCTGAAATATGTTTGCGTGAAAAAAGCATATTACACCAACATTCATAACTACCCAAAGCTAATATGACTGCCATAACTTAAATAACTTTATCAGGCACATGTTAAACCTGCCTGTGTGATCCATAAAATAGAAAAAAAAAAAAAAAAATCTGAGAAAGCAGACATAGCTGCTTCTTTGCCTTAAGTTTTGCCTTTAGTAGACTTCTAATTCCTATCTGCAGTTTGTATCTTTGGAGCATATGTTTTCATCAGACCAAATCAATGGGGATGTGTAAAAATTTAATGAAAACTCCCCCCCACCCCCCCACCCCCCCAACTGTTCTCTTGCAGTCAATTAAGAAGTGGAAAGAAAAGCAGCGGCAAGAAAAAGAAGGAAAACTGAAAGAGAAATCAGAAAAAATGTTCAAGGAAGAATGGCTACAGTGTGAAGAAGCTCAGAAGCAAAAAGCAGAAGAAGAAAGAAAAAGGCAACAAGCAGCAATTGAAGCATGGAAGAAACAGAAAGCATTTGCAATGGAACAAGCATCACAACTAAAACTGGAAGAAGAGAAGGAGAAAAAGCAACGAAAGGAACGCCAGCAGCAGCACCATGTGAAGTTACTGTTGGAAAGGTATACCTTGCAGAAAAAAGCAAAGGAGGAACTTGAAAAGCTTGAAAAGGAGAAGAGAGAGGAAGCTGAAAAGAAGGAAAGGAAAAGAATTGCTGCAGAAGCAATTACTAAGTTTCAAGAGCGTGTGCGTAATTACATCTCCATTTATGCATGTTGTTGTTTTAAATTCGCCCACTTCCTCCTACGATATAATCTGTTAAACACTTTTAAAAATCCGTTTCATTCATTTAAATCTATTTTTGATTCACTATCAATAACAACATCTGTTACATACAAAAAACAGCATGAAACTTTATTCTAGATAAAGATGTTCCTTTTCCTCAATATCTAAGTTCTACGGGATTATTCAGACCTGTATTTCTTTCTACCTATAGAAGTGGTTTTATTTACTTCAGTGTGAAAATGTTTGGGGAAAATCAGCTTGGGCTGCATTGCACTCTGTGCTATAGAAAACATCAGAGGACTTTATCGTTGTCTGCAGATATGAAATAAAAAGAGATGTTTGAAGATCCTGCAAGTTTCAGTAGCTGTAAGGTCAAGTTAGATCCCGTATCAGTCTAAATCTGATTACTGGAGAACTTATATTATTGTCAGCATTCACGCTAGAGTTCATTTTTATAAACAGAGATTAAATTGCTACAGCTTTTTTTTTTTTTTTCCAAAACTGTGTAACTATAATTTATTTGTGCAGGACAAGCTGTACCCTAGTTAACTTTATTCTGTTGTATGACAAAATAATTTCTAAACAAATAAAAAATTAACTGTGAAAAGGTTGTATATATATTAATATAATTTATATAATTTATTTTTACTTCCAAAGCAAAGTTTGCTTTTCCATTCGTTATGTTTCAGGATCTACATAAACTGAAGTTAAGGATTCTACAAAAACAAGCTAAAGAAGTAGAGAAACAAGAAAAAGAAAAAAGGTTGGCCAAGTTAAGAGAGAAGGTAATTTACCATTTTTTCGTTTTAATTTGAGGTGTTTGACCACTTGGTTGTTTAAACAACCTTTTTCCTTACTGATCTAAAAAGCAATTATTTTTACTTATCTAAATGGTTGATAAATTAAAAAAAAAGTCATGCGTGTTATCAGGAGACAAAAATGCAGCAGGCATAGTTGTTCTTGTGTTTAAAAGAAAAGGAAAAAAAGGCAAGAGAGATTTTTTTTATCTTCTGGCAGTATTTGCTCTGGGCAAAGGCTATAGCTTTTACAAATAAGCTGCAATATAGGTGGGGTTTCTTTTTACTTTTTAAAGGGTCTTCTACCTTTAGTTAAATAAGGAGGCTGGCTTCCAGGAGAGTTTCAGGAACATTGTCTGGGTTCTCAAGAGTTTAACCTTTTAAATTACTTGATTTCGTGTTTCTGCCATTCTGTCTGACGGTGTGGCAGGAAAAGTCTCTTTCTGGCTAGCCAGCTGTGTTTTGTTCCAAGAATCACAGAATGGTCAGGGTTGGAAGGGAACTCTGGAGATCATCTAGTCCAACCCCCCCGCCAGAGCAGGGTCACCTACAGCAGGTTGCACAGGGCAGCGTCCAGGCGGGTTTTGAATGTCTCCAGAGTGGGAGACTCCACAACCTCTCTGGGCAGCCTGTGCCAGTGCTCCACTACCCTCAAGGTAAAGATGGAACTTTCCAACTTAACCCGCGTGTTAAGATGGAACTTCTATATTCAAGTTTGTGCCCATTACTTCTTGTCCTATCACTGGGCACCACTGAAAAAAAGACTGCTCCCATCCCCCTGGCACCCTCCCTTGAAGGATTTATAAGCATTAATAAGATCCCCCCTCAATCTTCTTTTCTCCAGACTAAAAAGACCCAAGTCCCTAAGCCTTTCCTCATAAGAGATGTTCCAATCCCCTAATCATCTTCGTAGCCCTTTGCTGGACCCTCTCCAGCAGATCCCTGTCCTTCTTGAACTGGGGAGCCCAGAACTGGA